TGAGCTTTAGCATACCTGGAGCACATTAATAATGAAGGCTCTTGCATGACATTAGCTTTCTAGACACGCAACCATGAATGATAAACTCCTAACCACTACTCTTGAAACTAAAAGTGCACTCCACCCAAAATATAAAATCCCTCATAAATTAAGGCTCAAGGTAGGTAACAAAATCCTAAGAAGAAATTCTCTCTCTCTCTCTTATAAAACAAACACTTTATATATTCTACCTTCGGCTGGGACCACACCAATTCCCTACTTTCAGTTTCTTTGGACAAAACCAAAGTCTGATAGTTGTTGCACTCCGAGAACTGAGCTTCGAACTCTGGACTATCGTAGCCCTCTGACATATATATTTTCTTTATTGATTGTTCCATCAAATATCATACTTGATTTTCCGTTAGATCACTTAGATTGTCCCAATTAAGTGGTATATGTCATGGTAAATCAATTTACCATGGATTTTCAATGTTAGTCTTGTGGGTTGGGTTTTGTATGTGATGTTTTTATAAATGAAATGTTTTGGATTCTATTGCGATCTTGATTTATAGTAAAACTTAGTTTGAGTGAATTGAGTTTCTATGATTTTGATTTAGGTTGTGGTGATTATCTTGAAATAAATTTGCTACTGAAAAATCTAATGTATATATTGCAATATTGAAGATGACCTGATACTTTGACACTGAGTTTACATGTCGTACAATGTCTAAGAAATAGAAAGCACAAAATTCCTATGCTTAAGACACGATGTGCCAATTGGAATTGGGTGCAGATTTGCATGTCGTATTTAGGATATCTAATGTTTATCTTTCTCTTTCCAAACTGATGTTCACCTAGGATCATTTTAAAGTGATGATTGAATTCTAATATAACTAATTTTGCCAGTTGGGATGTAACTAGGGACATTTGGTTTGGCTTCAATCCTTAGATTTAAAATTTTAATCTTTGTTTAAATCCCGATTAAAGTTATAGGTATTGTACTGATATGGAAATTGTCATTCTGTTAAGTACTTCACTGGTTTTATATCTATGATGGGATCTCTGATCCACCATTTTTATTATTTTTTAAGGCCAACACATTGGTCACTGAAAATTATACAAAAATATTACATTAAAAAAATAGTGTTGGCTTAGATAGGAATTTAGATTATGAGAAAAATTATAGCTGCTTATGAAGTACTCTAAGAACCCCTTCAAGGGTGTGTAGGAAATTTTCTTGAACTAACAATTCCAAAGTTGGGACCCTAGATATTTAACATACCTTAGAAGATTGTCCATGGAGCCAAGGCATTTTATATATTGACTATACCCATATTATTTTTAGACTTCAGAATTAATTGCCAGTATTCATATAATCTACTTGTCTGTGACTCCCTTACCACTATTCAATTTAAAGAATCAATCATTCTGAAAAAGCAACAAATAATGCTAAAACATATAGGTAATGCTAAAAAACTAATTTCACCAAATATACACACACACACACCAAAAAAAAAAAGAAAATGCTAAAAAATCCATACAACATTATAAAAGGCCAACAAATATAGAATTCAATGAATCAAAAACTATAACATTTCAAATCTCTGTTTGGTAGCGATGAAAGGACCTTGGCATTATGAGGTCTTGATAAGTCTCTTAATAAGTTTTCCATGCTATCATCAATAGATAATGCATAAAGTTGTGAATCTATGGCGATGTGCATTGCATCAATTCAATATTCCAAGTTATTTTAGCATATGAACCGCACCTAATCCATGCCCACCATGTTATATTTACTTTTTGTAGACCATATAAAACCATAAAAATTATATAGCACTGAAATATCACTTCTCTTTTTCAGCACATACCATTATGTTTCTTTTACTACTAATAGTACGTCCATTTTTGGAATTTGAAAATAATTTTTTTAGTAAGAGTAAATAAACCATTTTTGGAAACTCTTAAAACACATTGGTGTAATGGTTTTACCTTCAAGAGATATATGTCCAAGTTAACACATAACTTTCATCTCGTTCAAGTTTGGTATAGTAAAATTGATCAATGGGGGATAAAAAGTATAAGGTTCTTTGGAAAATTAAATATGCTAAAACTTAGAAGNTAGTAAAATTGATCAATGGGGGATAAAAAGTATAAGGTTCTTTGGAAAATTAAATATGCTAAAACTTAGAAGGTGGTCCAACCATAGGATCATCGAATTACATTTTGTCTCAATTAAAACCTATTTGAAAAGCATCTAAGTTTAATACTAAACGTAGCCTATTCGAGACTATTCGGCATGTAAAGAACCTTAATAGAACTCTTAAAAAGTATTTTGATATTTTAAAATTAAAATGCCAACAAATGTTAAAATAAATTTTCAAATCTATTTGTCTTAACATGTAAAAAATGCCATATTTTCTTGTAATATAACTTAGAAAACTTAAATAGAATTTTGAAGCAAACAACTAATTAGGCGTGGTCAATAAAGACGTGAACTAAAAAAGGTTATCATTTGCCCAATTTAGACATCTATTCCAACATAAATGCCTGTACTCTCATCATAGATGACAGTACAACAAAAGTAAAAGGAAACCCAAATATATTCCAGAGTTCCAAATGTTTTTTAAAAAGAAAAAATTATGTGGTCAAATGTATCACAAGAAACTATCGACTATAAATACAATTTGCTGCATGCCTCAGAANAACCCAAATATATTCCAGAGTTCCAAATGTTTTTTAAAAAGAAAAAATTATGTGGTCAAATGTATCACAAGAAACTATCGACTATAAATACAATTTGCTGCATGCCTCAGAAAAAAATACACATCAATGTAAAAAATATAAATATTCTAGCATTCATAAAGAGAAAAAACATGATAAATGAGCAAACTAACATCCGCAGAACAATTAGCTAAGACAGTGTCTCATATGGAGTTCTACCCCTCATGCTTTAAGTTCAACATATTTTGCACACAGACACACACAATGGAAAGTGTTATAGGTGGAAAAAAAAAATTTCAGAACTCATTATGGTTCATCGGATCAATAAATTTTGAAATTATCTGAACCATTTTTTAACTTGGGCTAGGGTAACGTGACCTGGTGGATGACTATTTGTTTTATCTAGAAACGATATGAACCACTTTTTATCTTTGAGATTTGAATTATCTTGTCCCTTATTTTATAGATATGGAAATGTTCATCGTCAGTCACTTACACTACCTAGATTGCCAACCATGCATGATTGATCAAGTAGAAAGAAACCATCTCTTGCTAGCTTTATTTAATTTACGTGACTCTTTCTACAAAACAATAGGAAGAAGGGGGAAAGAAAAAGAGACGAGATGAATTATTTTTTGATTATCCAGAAATATTGTAATTACATACCTCTTGGTATGTTCCAAACTTCTAAATAAAGAAATATTTACTATTTTTTACATCAATTACAAAGTAATTGATAATCAAAATGGTTTAAGTGTATTGCACGTGTGTACCAACTAGTATATAAGAGTAAATGTGTGTATTCACAAAACTAACCATAGCGAATAATACAAGAATAATACAAATAACACTCCAATAAGAACAATACTGTGGAAAAAAATCCGAAGACTTTATTTATTATCTGCAAGATTAAAACTAGAATGTCTAAACAAATAAAATCACAAAACATGACTATCAAAAGTTGACACCAAAATAAAGAAATATTTACTATTTTTTACATCAATTACAAACTAATTGATGATCAAAATGGTTCAAGTATATAACACATGGTTCTGAATAACGGTAACGGGTGATGTAACGGTATCGGTAACGGTGTAACGAACACGGGATGTAACGGGAATTACGTAACAGTAATGGAAATCGAAGTCGTAAATTTTGTTAATTCATTCACAACTATGGGCAAAAATCAAAATTTTCTACATATTTGAACCAAAATAAAATAAATTCAGTTTTTTTGTAATTTATAATAATTTTTTATTATATTCATGATTTTGATATGTTAAATTGCTTAATTAATCCAAATTTAGAGCAAATGAAAGTAAATTAACTGAAGCAATTAATATCTATTTATTTAAAAATTTTATTCAAAATAAATTTAGATCATTGGGATAAAATAAAAAAAATTTGCAATTATAAATAAAAATTATTAGCTAGTAAATTCGTACAAGAAGACCCCACCACCTACAAATTTTTAATTTATTTAAAACCACTCCTTTACATTATTAAAAAACATGACACTTGTCATCTATTCATTGACTAAATTTGTTGATAATGAATACCAATCATTCAATATATAAGTTGTAGAAAGAATTTGCTCCACTTGATTTTGGNTTAAAACCACTCCTTTACATTATTAAAAAACATGACACTTGTCATCTATTCATTGACTAAATTTGTTGATAATGAATACCAACCATTCAATATATAAGTTGTAGAAAGAATTTGCTCTACTTGATTTTTGCCTTTCCAAAAATCTGCCAACCCATGACAGCCTGTCAATTCTCAAAAATATAAAATTTAACTCGCCGGCTTTTTAGCCGGTCATCTTTCTCTCAGTCATAAAACTGTCATGGGTGAGCAGCAGAAGCTATGAAAATAGGCTGTTTCGGCGGCGTAACACATTTCAACGCTCTCATAACGACCGTTACATTTCGTTACAGTGCCGTAACGACTGTTATTGACGTAAAATTTAATTCTACCTGCTATAGCAGGGTGTAATGGGATCGAAACTCATTGTTACCGTTATATAATTATAGTTATGCACCGTAATGACCAATTTTTAAAATCCTGATATGACACGTGTGCACCTACTAGCATATAAGCGTAAACATGTGTATTCACAAAACTAACCTTAGTGAATAATACANATTTTTAAAATCCTGATATGACACATGTGCACCTACTAGCATATAAGCGTAAACATGTGTATTCACAAAACTAACCTTAGTGAATAATACAAGAATAATACAAATAACACTCCAATAAGAATAATACCGTAGAAAAAATTCCAAAGACCGTATCTATTATCTGCACGATTAAAACTAGAATGTCTAAACAAATTAAATCACAAAACTTGACTATCAAAAGTTGATACCAAAATACATGGAATTACCCATAAAACTTATTAGTCTTAACGTCCCTCGTCAAGGTGTGACTCAATACCAGACAGGGCATTAGCAGAAATATTCGTCAATGATGATGAAGGGAATGCCACTGTAAATTCATTTGAAACTTCATCCCCAAATAATGCAGCCATGCCAACTCCTTCGGGCAGCATAGCATCCCCATCCAAATGCCTCATCACTTGCCTCATGTTAGGCCTAGCCATCGGATTATAGTGCGAGCAAAGCAGACCCAACTTCAAAACCAACTCCATTTCCTCCACCACAAAGTCACCCCCCAATCTCGGATCACTTACCTCAAGGATTGCTCCTGCTTTCCATTTCTCCATTACCCACTGAACCAGAATCATATCATCAGTCAATCCCTGTACTTTTAGAGGCCTTTTTCCGCAAGCCACTTCTAGCATAAATGCTCCGAAAGCAAAAANCCATCTCTTGCTAGCTTTATTTAATTTACGTGACTCTTTCTACAAAACAATAGGAAAAAGGGGGAAAGAAAAAGAGACGAGATGAATTATTTTTTGACTATCCAGAAATATTGTAATTACATACCTCTTGGTATGTTCCAAACTTCTAAATAAATANTCCAACCACATGGGTTGTTTTAGGATTTTCACCATGATCATACAATCTAGCAAGCCCAAAGTCTCCGAGCTGTCCATTAAAATGGGCATCCATAAGAACATTACTGGCCTTGACATCTCTGTGAAGAACAACTTTTTCCCACTCTTCATGTAGATACAGAAGGCCAGATGCCACCCCTCTAATGATTCGATAGCGTTGTGACCAATTAAGGCTTGGAGTCTCGTTACTGTGTAAAAATTTGTCAAGACTTCCATGGGGCATATAATCATAGACCAACAGAAGCTCTCCCTTTCTCCGGCAATAGCCGAGGAGGGCCACCAAGTGCCTGTGCCTGAGCCTTCCCAAGCTGGCAATTTCAGCCACAAATTCCTTCATCCCTTGTGTTGAGTTATGGGAGACTCTCTTCACTGCAACTTGGGCATTGGAAGAAGGAAGTACCCCTCTATAAACCTGTCCAAAACCTCCTACTCCAAGAACCTCTTTGTGGTTGAACCCATTGGTTGCTTTGTAGAGATCCTTGTAGGAGAACCTCTGAGGTCCATATTCCAATTCCCAATCCTCGAGTATTTCTGCATACTTTCTTCTCCTTTGTATGTAAGCAATCCCAGCCATAGTGATGATCAGCACAACTAGTATTGTCGAGGCCGAGAATCCAGCATCTCGATGTAATTTTGTTTTGGATTTTTTGGGTCGGGGAACTGAAGGAAGCTTTGAGAGTTCTAGACTTTGCGCTGGTCCTGTTTTGTTGAAGCTCCACCCCAGAATGTAGTGGTTGCTTACTGACACTGCTCCTGTCGATGCAGAGAAACCAACATACATAGAGTCCAAGAAAACTGGAGAAAGATCAATGGACGCCGACAAGAGAGGTTGATTTGGTTTCGCGATTCTGATGGGAGCTAAGGTAACGACGATAATCTTTTCCACTCCATCATAGTCTATCCAAACCTGCGTTGGGGTTTTACTCGTAAGTTCCAAGCTCTTGTTGATCCCATCTGTATTGGGAAAATATGACCCCGGAGCAGATACAACTGATTTTAGGCTGTCCACATCAATTCCCACATGATTGCTATTTATGTCTTCAAACTCAGGGTTCTGCAGAGTATCAAACTCAACTGCAAGCACATGGTTCGAGGCAAGGCCGTTGTTTGAAGTATTGAAAACGCCCAAAAACTGGTCTGTCATGGCTCCCTTGATGAAGCTCAGAGATGGTGAGATGGTGAAGGCAAAGCCGTTGCCTTTAGGATTTCTCAGTGTAGGAACAATGGCAAAGATAAAATAGGTGGAAAATGAAAGAGACTGAGCTGACCCAGATAAGGAAGACGTGTTAAACTTCATAGGAATTTGGAAGAAAGCATGGCCAGTATGTTGCTGGGTAGTGTTGGTTAGCTGCAATAGGCCATTGGGATGGATTACTGCTTGCCCATCAAGATAGAGTTTGGAATCACGAAAGCCATGGTAGATGAACTTGGTGCCATCTTGATCTAAGGCCAAGAGTTTGGTAGATATTAGGAGGAAGGTCAAGAAACTTAGACACCTTGTTGGTGTAGCCATAAAAGAAGTGAGAGAAGGCTTCTTCCGTCTTGAAATTTTGTGACTTTTGAATGGCCAAAATGTTGATCTTATTGAGGAAAGGCTAATAAACTCTACCATCATCGTAATTGTTGGTGAAAAATGTTAATCTGACATAATTGGTCTTTAATTTTGTGACTTTGAATGGCCTAAATATTTTCTGATCAAATTATTAAAGAAAGGCTAACAAAGTCTACCATCACATCATTATTTGTGATAAATGCTATTAAAACATAATTGGTCTTTAATTTGTGGCTTTAAATGACCTAAAATGTTTATTATTGAGGAAAGACTAACATGGTCTAACATCGTGTCATTGGGCATGAAAAATATGATTAAGACATAATTGATCTTCCTAAATTCTGGGATGGGTGCTCTTGTAAGATTAGGGTGGATATAAATTCCATAATTAGACCTCGAAACAATAGCTTTGCGGCGTAATAGTTAACCTAACTTCAATGATTAGATGCTAATGTGACACATTAATTTGAATTGTACCCATCTCACTTCAAAAATAAAATTTGGCATAAATANTGAAGCTCAGAGATGGTGAGATGGTGAAGGCAAAGCCGTTGCCTTTAGGATTTCTCAGTGTAGGAACAATGGCAAAGATAAAATAGGTGGAAAATGAAAGAGACTGAGCTGACCCAGATAAGGAAGACGTGTTAAACTTCATAGGAATTTGGAAGAAAGCATGGCCAGTATGTTGCTGGGTAGTGTTGGTTAGCTGCAATAGGCCATTGGGATGGATTACTGCTTGCCCATCAAGATACAGTTTGGAATCACGAAAGCCATGGTAGATGAACTTGGTGCCATCTTGATCTAAGGCCAAGAGTTTGGTAGATATTAGGAGGAAGGTCAAGAAACTTAGACACCTTGTTGGTGTAGCCATAAAAGAAGTGAGAGAAGGCTTCTTCCGTCTTGAAATTTTGTGACTTTTGAATGGCCAAAATGTTGATCTTATTGAGGAAAGGCTAATAAACTCTACCATCATCGTAATTGTTGGTGAAAAATGTTATTCTGACATAATTGGTCTTTAATTTTGTGACTTTGAATGGCCTAAATATTTTCTGATCAAATTATTAAAGAAAGGCTAACAAAGTCTACCATCACATCATTATTTGTGATAAATGTTATTAAAACATAATTGGTCTTTAATTTGTGGCTTTAAATGACCTAAAATGTTTATTATTGAGGAAAGACTAACATGGTCTAACACCGTGTCATTGGGCATGAAAAATATGATTAAGACATAATTGATCTTCCTAAATTCTGGGATGGGTGCTCTTGTAAGATTAGGGTGGATATAAATTCCATAATTAGACCTCGAAACAATAGCTTTGCGGCGTAATAGTTAACCTAACTTCAATGATTAGATGCTAATGTGACACATTAATTTGAATTGTACCCATCTCACTTCAAAAATAAAATTTGGCATAAATATTTGGTCACCATAGCAACACTCGCTTTAACAATGGACTTGTATGGACTTCTCTGTTCTTGTACTTTTCTGTTTTTGCATCACAAAAGTTATCTAGATATCATGACCATGTAGGTATCATGACCTTGGACATGTATGGCTGTCGTAACTTCTAGGTTTCTATCAAGGAAAATGTTTTACAAATCAAATAAAATTTAAAAATTACAACTTAAATACATACCTTCTATTACATGAATGAGTTTTACTGAAAAAATTAATAGAACTCATTCATTTAAGAGATGATATGTACTTGAATTGTGTAAAATTACCCTTCTATGAAAGTCACATAAGTCTTGAGTTATGCTAATATCTTGAATATTTGCTTGATTCCAAAGGGCCCAATGCAGAACCCTCCCCCCTTACCCCCCCGGGAAAAAAAAAAAAGCCCGTGAGTCTTGAAGAACAGGGTATGATGGATCCATCTGATATGCTTTTCCTCTAATTCTCTCAATAATCACGTCACTCGTTATGAATATAAGAGAGATTCAAGGTATCCTTTTTGGGTCATGACTATAGTGTATTCGAGGGCATCAATGATTCCTACATGGTGATCTAGATCTAGATATACAAGAAAATATTTAGGATAAATTTTACTCATATCCTCTGACATTTGGCTATATTACATGGATGCCCCTCACATTTTTAAAAATACACTAAGGCCCATTTTGTGTGGAGGCAATAACATTTTTAATAAAAGACTTTTTTGTCCTTCGCNGATTCCTACATGGTGATCTAGATCTAGATATACAAGAAAATATTTAGGATAAATTTTACTCATATCCTCTGACATTTGGCTATATTACATGGATGCCCCTCACATTTTTAAAAATACACTGAGGCCCATTTTTGTGTGGAGGCAATAACATTTTTAATAAAAGACTTTTTTGTCCTTCACTTGCTGAGTAAATTAAATCAAACACAAATACATCCCAAGCTCAAATACAAATCTTTTACCTATGCCCAAATCCAAACAACGATTCCATGAGCCAAGTTCAATAATTGTCAAGAAAACCATTCATTCAAACCAAAAGTAGCAATCTTAATTCATTACCCATTAACCCGCCCAATCCATTCATAAATAAATGAGTTAGGTACATATATTAATAATTAAGTAGATTAATATGAATTATAAATCGGTACACATTGGGTTGAGTATTTATCTTTTTATTAAATAATATAAATAATAAAATTAAATAAATATACTAATATACTAAAAAATGCACACACACTAATACATTAAAAAATACTCACATATTAGTACAATAAAAATACACACATTAATACACCCGACTCGACCCAGGACCCACAACTCGCTCCCCAACACAAGACTTGCCCCATGACCAGCTCCACACCCTGACCAATGACACAAGTAATAAAATAAATCAATTNTATACTAAAAAATGCACACACACTAATACATTAAAAAATACTCACATATTAGTACAATAAAAATACACACATTAATACACCCGACTCGACCCAGGACCCACAACTCGCTCCACAACACAAGACTTGCCCCATGACCAGCTCCACGCCCTGACCAATGACACAAGTAATAAAATAAATCAATTTTTTTTGTGTGTGTTGCACAAAAATCTGTTGTTATTGACAGAGGAGACTCGATCAATAGCGATTGTTTATGATGGATTCAAGTGCCTTGTTTAAGGACTTCCTTGGATGAATTTTATCGAATAATCACACAGTACATGAAAACTAATATAAGAGAATTTCTTTATTAATTCAGTCGAAAGGACTTTGGTTATACAAAGGACTAGATTAACAACCTTGACTGCACTAGTAACTACTTCCTAAAACTACTATTAAAAATATCCA